CACCAATAAAAGAAAAAACCCCACCAATAGTTTTCAATCAAAAGAAAATAAATTCATTTTATTTCCAACAGCTGCTGCTTGGCGGCGGTAGGGGAAGAAAATCGACCAACCTTTTTTTTTTTTTTTTTACTTCTTCCTTTCTTTTTCGTTTTTGCGTGGCTGCTGCTTCTCTAGGGTGGGCGGCTGGGGTTAGGTTTCTTGTGCGGCTGCTGTGGAGAATAGGGGGGGAATTTATTTACACTTTGTTTGGCAACAAGGAGGGTGCAAATTCGAGGAGGGTGCAAAGTGAGGGGTAAATTGTAGGAGGGAGCAAATTATAGGAGGGTGCAAAATGGGGTGCAAATTGTTGTTTGGTAGAAAAAGTAGGAGGGTGCAAAATGGGGTGTTGATATATTAATTATAATATAAAAGTGATGAAAGTAATAAAAATTTAAAATTATATTTAATTTTATCATTCTTTTTAGCTTTTTACTTCCCACTCTCTCCTCTCTCTCCCCAATCTTTCTGATCCAACCCCTTCCCCCATTGTTGTCGTCCTATTCTCCTTCTCTCTTCCACACACAAAAAAACAACGAGCTTCTTCTTTCTCCCATCTTCACTTCTTCGTCTCTAACCTTGGGGATTATCCCTCTACTGCTTGCCTCTTCAGTCCTCTGGATGAAGCCACCAGGCAACCACATGGCCATTTTTTATGGCTCAAGCTGCTGCCAAAACAGATCTAGGTGAGTGGTTTATTGATCTGGATTTGCATGTGGGACGAATCCTTCGATCTGGGACGACGGAGGGGAAAACATGCCGGCGAACACTCAATTTTTCTATCGTTGTTGTTGTTTTCATCTTCTCCACCTTCAGATACTCTGTTTTGCAGGTCACCAACGAGCTAGGAATTGAGGACGGCAGCTGCTGGAGAGGAAATACGGTCTGAAGGCGGAGCAGCTTTGCCGTCGCGGAAGGAGGAATGAGTGCTGCCTGGGTAAAATCGGAGAAGATGATTTCGGAGAAGACGATTGAGAGAAGAAATAACTAACGAAATTGAGGAAAAGGAATTCAGAAAAAAGAATGAAAGCCTCTCAATTTTTCTCTCTCCACTTCCACCCCAATTTGGGGGGCTTGTTCAAACCGTAGTTTTGCACCTCTAACTGTCCGCCCCCCTACTGTTCAAAAAGTTCCCAAACAGGTGCAAAATCATTGGGAAGGGAATTTACCCCCTTGATTTTGCGCCCCCCTACACTTCCCCCTCTTTCCAAACAGAGTGTAATTAGGGATGGGGGAGTGGAGGCGCCTGGCCACTTTGGCCGCCCCACTCTGATTCCTTTTTTTTTAATTCTACTTATAATAATGTTATAATATTATTATTATTCTTAATCCGCGATTGTAACTCTTAGTACGTAACCGTCAATCTAACCGATCACGTATTAAAGTCGAACCTAAATCTAAAATACCGGGGTGTTACATAGTCTCCAAAGAACCACGACGAAGCCGCCATCGACAGTTGGAGATAACACCATTACCCACAACAAACTATTAGAAAAGAGGCAAAGATGTAGAGCAAAAGACTATGTTTGAAGGGGAAAACAGTGATTGTGTTCACATGAGAAGATGAACACACCAACAAGGAGCAACAACCCCAATACACATATCTCAATCAAACGTGCTACAAGCTGCAAAATATGAATCCAAAGCAGAGCAAGGCCAAATCATATCTTGAAAACTATATTAGAAAACATACCATATCCATCTCCACAGCAAAGGCATGTTGACTCGCTTTTACTAACACCCTAATCAATGGCCAAATGCAACCATAGATCAGGGAGTAGTATAGTGGAATTAAGTCTTAAATATCAACCCACTAGTACATCCCAACTATTAAAAAAAATGTCATTTATATCTTCAAGTATTAAATATGACAATCTTGACGCGAACTTTCATCACCATTTACTTTATTAACATTGACTGTAATTGGTCAACAGTCGACGGGTTGACTGATGATGTGTCAGTTGTCTTGGATTATTTTTCATTAATTAAAAAACAAAAATAATAAAAATTTGAAAAACATGTTGCAACTCAAAAGTAGAAGAAACATGAGAAGAAAGGATTTTTCGCTCTAGTTTCTCGTCTGATTTGATTCTAGCGACCTCAATTCATATCTAGAAAAGAAAATGATGGAGCTATTCATGTTGGGTTGCACCGGAGTTGTGGTGTTCCTTCATGGAGTCAATATGAAAATTGAACATTTTTGTCTTGGAGTATTGATTTTTTTTTTTTTTTGGAAAATGAGAGGGGAGAAAGGGAGCTCTTGACGTCTACACAAGAAAGCACAATTGGTTTAACAGCAACAACAACAAGAACAACGAAGGCTTGCCTCAGTAAATTTCATGATGATTAAGAAGATGTCAAACCCAGAGGGACAACACCGGCCTTGAAGAGGCCACAACCGCAGTGGCATGTTTGGTCTTGGGTGGGTGTTCCGAAAGTAGTTTACTTGTTTTGGCGTGGATATTAATTGGCTTAATCTTCTTGCCCATCGCAACCATTGTTAAAAGAGCATCTCATTTTCTCAAAATTTCCATACCCTTATTCTTCATCCATGTCATCAAACGTCCTCCATATCCCAAATTTGTGTAGAAATTACATCCTGCATCCCTCTAGTTGGCAGTAAAACTATATCAAGCGTGCTTTGCTCCAACTGTGTCGTGTCATTCTTGTCCGTGGGCGGCCCGCCTCAAGGCTAGGTACACCTAGATCCCAATAATTTTGAGAACGTTTTGGGGACAGATAGATCCAATGACGGGGAAGGGTTGAGGAGGAGGAGGGGATGAAGCACAGCTAAGGGGGGGGGGGGGAGAGGTCCCAAGTTCGCAACCCATGTCATGTGAAGATAAGAGGAAGATAACCAAAGAAGAAGAGAAAGAAACAACAAAAAGGCAAATGGAAATGGACACATCGGGAGTGAAGAGAAGGGAATTCCTACACCAAATTATTTTTTGTTTCGATTGTTAGAATTTTGGTGTTCAGTCGGGTTCATTAACCCAAGAAGAAGCCGGTTAAAAAGGAAGAGAGGAAAATGTGAGGAAGGATGGTGGAGATGAAGAGTCTTTAGGTTATATAAGCTGAGGTTCTAACTACTGAATTAAAACAATCAGAAACGCAGCAAAGATCGGTTAGAAACACAACGATCACAAATAGATAATAACTCAAACCAGATCCACACGTCGTGAAGAGGGACAAGTATACGAATGACTATTCTGCTAGGTGATTCGCTAGCAGAAAGCATTGCTTTCTTCTTGCTGAATCAATTTCACGATCAAGAAAGAAGAAGAGAAGAAGTTGGGGCCCACAGATTTTAAGGGTCGAAATCCGTGGACCCAACGGAATTGTAAATCCCACATGTTGATATGGGATTTAGAACATGGCATAAATCCTTGATGAGATTTTACCCATACACCCTTATGAACTTTTAATATCTCAAGGTTGCTCTCAAATTTAACTATTTTATATTATAATTAATCAATTAATTAACAACAAAGGAATAATATAAATATTCAATTAATTTGCAAACATGAGTTAGAATTTTTATGTCATTTCTTGTGTTCTAATTTTCTTTTGATCTTTTTAAGGAACATGTAATTCTTTATTCTTCCGATTCTAATATATGTTGGTATATGTTACGTTTGAAAAGGAGGACAAAAAATTGATAACCAATTATGTTAATTTAAAAATTACACGGAATTTCTCCGTTTATTATTATTGTCCTTGTGGCGAAATTATGCTTATTAGTACATATGTACTTGTTTTATGTACGTATCATAAACATGTCAAACATATATAAAAGGATAGTAAGGTAATTTTGGACTTTAAGTTCTAAATCTCACACTCTTAAATGTTAAATCCATGATAAAACATCTCAACAAACAAAGGATTGTTACAAATCCATAAGATCTCAAATCCTTGATAAATCCTTGGGTTTTTAAATTACAAAACTTTCATTTTCAAATCCATAAAGCAAACGACCCCTTAATTTAAATCCCTTCTCACTCGACTTTTACCTCTAGATACCAGAATTACATAGAGTAGACAGTAAATCTAGGACCTGGGTTGACAATTAAAACTGAATTATGCTTTAGTTCAATTCGAATATGCACATACCACATGTATGTAATATGTGTTCCGCAAGTTGGCTACACATAAAGGCCCCTCAATCCACTAACATATGCTTTAAAGAGATCTGGACCATTGATTAAGTTGGTCTTTCATCTCGATTGTTGGATGACACTAGGAGAATGATCCTCCCAGCAGTACGCAAAGCACCTTAACTATATTGAATTTGTGTAGAGACATATTGTCAATTCATAAACCCTTAAGACCACCCACAATAGTAAGTTAGAAATCTGGACCCCTAAAATGGGTAATTTGGGTCTAGAACCACAACAAAGAAAGTGTGAAAGGTCCAAAAGGAGTTTTGGTCGAAATCAATTTAGAGTTGATTTTGTTACTTGGCTTCGATAATTTAGTTATTATTTTTACATAGATAGTCATAATTAATCATGACAAACATTTTGATTTAATTTTTTAATTCTTACATAAATTTTTTAACTAAATCTATTATTAATAATGAAAGGACATCATACATCAAAGGTAAACGGAAAGTGAACTTAGCAACACACATAAAAAAATAAGGCAAAATACACTTGTATAGCCAAAACTTCCATGTTTGTGCCAATAATAGCCAAATTTGGCGAAATACCACTTTCTAACATTTTTGTTACCCTTCTATTGTTGGGGGTCTAAGAAGTTGGCACCTTAACTCGTTCTGTTAGTAACAAACTAAAAATTGCAGATGTGAAGAAATCAGAGAAATTACAAAATTCATTCAATTTTACACATGGGAATAATTTCACATTCGTATGCATTTACAGCTAGCTTTGAAAATAAAATTTAATTCCAACAAAATGTATTGAATCAAAGAAATGAAGACAAAAAAAAAAGAGCTACTGTAGTGATCATTTGTTGGCGGCGCTGCAAATCTTTCTAACCTGGCCTGCGGATCCGGTGAGAGGCTGAAGATCTCCCATCTTGATCATGGCGGCCGCGAAATCGGCACTGAAACGGGAAGGACTCTGACTGTACTCCATCACTATACTATCCGTAACGCCGCCGCTGAAAAGGACCTGATCGGTTTTGAGGAGTCCCTTCCTCTGCACTATATTCGTGAAGTAGTTGTTGTCGAATTTGTCCGGGGTCATGTCCATCGCCACCAAATTCGAATCCCCGCCAACCGCCGGGCAGCGGCGCCTGAGGGCGCTAGCGAACCCAGGGTCGATATTAGCGTTGTTGCTATGGATCCTTTCGCGGAAGCTAAAGCATGGGGCCAGGCCCAAAGTATGGGCTCCGGAGAGAGCGACCATGTCTCTTGGGCTGAGCCCTTTTCGCTTGAACAGATCAATGAGGATCTGGAGATCGGAATTGAAGAAGGGGAGATTCCCCATCACCTCGTCAGGAAACGCGGCGGTGGAATCTCTCCTGCCAAGCTTCACGTCCCACGACGGGCCTCCAGCGAAGGCAGAGGCGTCTCGTGCCGCCACGGCTAGAATGTCGGCGCAGGAGACGACGGCGGGGCAAATGGTCTCGAGCTGGGCTTTGGCGGCATCGATGACTTGGTGGCCTCTTGTGGATACGTTTGGTGGAGAGTCTTTCTCGGATTTGATGGTTTGGGAATTGTTGAGCAGGTTGGAAGCATCGCATCCGTGGACGAAGCAGTCGTGGAAATGGAGCCGGATTAGGGCAGCAGACATCCTCGGATCCTTGGCGATTGCCGCCCTTATGGAGGTTCGTATTGCAGGGAGGGCGTTGGGGCATGATTTGGCGTAGAAGTTTGTGGACAATTGTGCTTCCGACCTCCGTATTGCCGCCGTACTCATTAGCGTCAGTAACGCCACTAACAAGGCTGGTTTTGAGAGTAATCGTTCGGTTGCCATTGCCACGATCCTGGATATATAGCTATCACTTAACCGATTGACCCGCCCTTTGGGCCGAATTCATCGTCGGAATCGTGGCAATCTTTGCTCTCTATTAATGATTGAGATGGTGGCAGAGGCGACAGAGGAGATTTGGTGCGATATGTAGCTAGCTAGATGTTTGGAGAAATGGAGAAGAGGTTGGGTTTCATGGAAGGGGTGAGGGTTGATATGTAAGGAGTGAAAATAAGTTTGATGGGGGCTTGTGTTTTTGGCGTTGAGGCTTTGTAGGAGCAGATAAGTCGGACATGGTAAGAAGGAAGCAATCGGAGGTGTTTGTTGTGAACGTAAGGAAGGGGGAGGGACTAGGGAGAGACCACAAAAAATAAATAAATTTTTTATGGATAACGACAAACTGATTTTTCTAGACCAGATTGATACTTCCTGTTTTTTATTTTGTGTAATGGAGGTGACCTTTTTACAAATATATAAAAATTTATGAAATTATTCGATTTGTATATGATGTTTTTTTATTTATTCGGGCACACTAAAAACTTAGAATATCAACATTAATAGTCTCTACTCTCTACTTGTGCCTTAGCTCGTTCGAAAGCTAGATTTGCCTTTATTATTTGTTGCTTCTCTTAGATTGGTATAGTCTTGGCGTTTCATTCAAAAACAAAGTATGAAATAGTCAAAACGAGCTTATGACCATTAATCCTACGAAACAGAGAGGGATATGAATGAAAATATCGAAATATTGATTTTAAGTTAAAATAAAATGTGGGTGCATGGTTCCCGCTTAGTTATTATTAGTTGGCTATTTTCGAACAGTAAAAAGTGTTGATAGAAGACGCAACATGAGAGAGAGAGAGAGAGAGAGAGAGAGAGAGAGATCTAGGGAGAGGAGGAGAGCCTGTGAGAAAGGGAGTGTGATCGTCAGATAGAACGGCGGTGAGGGTTTTGGGAGAGTGATCAAGGATTCGCATTTTGGAAAGCTTTTTTCTTCCTCTTCTTCTCTGTGCAGGTACCCGGCATCCGGTGGAAAGGATGGTGACGCTACCCTTGATAGGAATCTCGTCGGTCTCGACTTCGGATCCAAGCATGTGTCTGTTGGAACTTGTCTCTTGATGGAACGGCCAAGCCTTCAAAATTTCGGTGACGGAACAGCCGGGTAGAGTGCATTATGTCATCTTCGACTCGATTCAGGCAGAATGGATGATCAGCTCTCTGCAAACAGCTGAACTGAATGGGTGGGCCTTTCCCCACCGCAATGTCAAGAGAAGTGGCAGTAGGGTTATCCATATTGGGAAATCGAGGAATAGGAGAGGTCTCTTCCTGAAAATCTCGGAGTCTATCAAAGCAGACCTTATGTTCTACGTTATTATTCCTATAGAAAAATCTCAGAGTGCCTGGCGAAAGCTTATCAAGCTGCTACAAGCATGTCAGGAACCCGCAGTAAACCCAATGGACTTGAGGAATGCTGCCCAAATCCAACCTCACAAGTCTTATGCCGATGCTGTGCGAGTTAAAGATTTCCATTCCAAAGGGGATGCGAGGGTTACCATGGAAGGAGATGTGAAGGTTATCAAAGTGGGCAATACAGGTGTTAAAGAGTTGTTCGATATGTTAGGAAGATGCCTGTTAGTCTCCTTTCAGGCCAAAAACAGTGATACCTTCTCATACATGATATTGCCGGCTTTCCTGTCCTGGGCAGCATCTAGGTGGGCTTTCTTCGCGAATCATGAGATTAAAGATACAGGCGACGGTCGGAGGCTTCTCATATGCCCTAGCAACATGGATGCAAAATAGATATTCAATTTAGGAGGTGGTCAATTTCAAAACCTTGACATGTCACTGGAGTTTTTGTCAGAAGCTTTCTCCCAAGAGCTTGTGAAGGATACTAGTTTGGGTACAATGCGCCTCTGGATCTATGTTTTCGGCATCCCATACCATATCAAGAGCCTTCAATTATGCAGGAGCTTGGGTGATTTCTGTGGGAAATTCTTGGAACTGGACTGGTGCTCTTGGGCGGCTCCTTTCGTCAGGATTAAGATTGAAGCGTCAGGCGCAATGTTGTCAAAGCCGAGCCGAGCCGGCCGGCCGAGCCGCCAAAACTGCCACCCGACCATAAAACCGGCTCGACCCAACTATTTAGCCGGAGTGGTTCTTTGGGGCGGTCGGTGAGCGGCCGAAGCGGTTAACCGCTCGAGCCGCTCGACCGGCTTTTACCATTTGGGCCGGTTGCTTTAATTAAAAAAAAACATATATCAAAAATGAAAATGAAAGGGGAGGGGAGGCTGCTGAAAACGTAACCCTAATTGACATTGAGGCATTTATGTCTTCTCCCCCTTCGCGCAGCAGCCAGACACGAAGAACGGAAGAAGAGCAGAGCCAGTCGCCGTTCGCTGGTCCCCGTTGCCGTTCGCGGGTCCCCGTCGCCGTGTCCGTTTGCGGGTCCTCGTCGCCGTCTCCGTTTGCCATCGGCCGTCACCATCCCTCGACGCCACTCCCCTGTCGCCTATCGCCCTCGTCGGCGGCGGCAGCTTGTTCCCCTGCATCGACTCTCCTCTGCATCGACTCTCTCTCTCTCCCCTGCTGCCCTGCATCGACTCTCTCCCTCTCCCCTGCTGCCTCTCCCCTGCGGAGAGGGATATCCGGAGAGCGCTTGAGGCGCAGCGGATGGTGGCCGACGAGCAACCTGGTGGCGATTTGGGAGTGAAAGAGGTAGAGGGTGGAGAGTATCAAGGTCAAATAGAGGAGGGTATTTGTCCATTTCAAAGCAGTTAGGGATTCCATTGTTTCTTTAACAAATAACGGGAGAATTGAGACAGCTGGATCGGAGGTCAAGCGGTCAAATTGGGGGTTCGATTCGCCGCTCCGTGATTTTCCTGGCGGTGAAAGCTATAAGCTGTTATGTTCATCTGCTGACCCGTGAGGTTTCTTATTCCATTTAGCAATTTTTTTTACTTGATTGAGTTATTTAGAAGTTTCAGAATGGTAGTGTTAGATGACTGTTTATTAGGTATCGGTTCTTAAACGGTCTAATGTCGGTTGGACCACTAATGACCGAGTCGTTCACGTTACCGGGTCATACTCCGGTTCGGCTTTGACAGCATTGGTCAGGCGTGATCCCGAAGGAGGTTCCGGTGCGGTTTGGTGGGAAAAGTTTCGTGGCAAAAGTCAGATTTTCCCCGGTCCCGGAGCTTCCGACATGCAGCGAAGGCAACGGCGAAACCCAGAAGGCCAAGAGTCGTGGTTCCAGTTCTTCTTTCTCCAATAATGCTTCGGGAGCTACAGTGCCATGCACGCATGCAGATGGTGCGAATCCCAACTTTTGCAAGAATTCTGGTAGGGCAGATGAACCATCAAATCCAAAGAAGCTAAAACCCAACCCAAAACCAAACTCCAAAACCAGATCATTCTGGATCCGGAAGGCCGAACCTATCCCTAACCCACTTTGCCTCTTTAAGGCCACTAGGAAAGTCCAGACTAGCCCATCAACATTAAACCCCTTACCCAAACCCAAACAATCGTCGTCCTTTGATCTGCTTCCCCAACAAACCTCCCAAACCAGTTCGACACATACACCCATCACCCCTCCATCCTCTTCCTGGCTTCTGGATCTCGACCTCAGGAAGCTCGCTTCCTTGCTTTCACCGGCCTTTCCTCTCATGCCGATCCCAACTGCAACGACCTTTTCCATTTCCATCCTACCAAACCGTATTACCTTTTCCCTCATCCTACAATCAAATTGCCTATCCTTTGACTTGACTATCAAAAACCCCTGTGTCTCCGCATCTGCAATTCCAGAACCCTTACCTAGTCCCAATAACCTATTAGAAGCCCCTTTTTCCCCTTTCCCAACTGATTTTCCCTCCTACATTGAGCCAGACACCTATTCCCCTAGTTTCAACTGCCAATATGATGGTGAGGATTTGAATCCTCACTCCCCACCCTTTGACCTCGAGAGCCTGACAAGCTGCTGCCAGCGCATGTCCAGCATGTTTCAGTTGACAATTGGTGACGAGAAGGTTGTGGATGTAGATATTCAGGTTCATAAGACGGCCTCAGCCACTCATAGGCGGAAGAAACGTGCCCCAAGATCGAAGACTGAGATGGAGTTTCACCGACTCGGTCCGAATACCTGCCCTGTGGAAGGACCGAGATACAGAAGAAGCAAGGTTCTGGGTTCACCTTCTATTACTCATAATGGTTAATTCCCTCATTGCTTGGAACGTTCGTGGTTTGGGATGTGATCAGAAAAGATCTCGTATCAAGAGGATTCTTATGAGAAGAAAGCCATCTATTGTGAGTTCGATTAGCGGATGTAGGAGTACCGACTGGGTGACCGAAAATGTGATTAACAGCAGAGGAGGTATTGTTGTTTATTGGGATAGCAGGTTTTTCAAGAAATTGGATGACCAGATTGGCGAATTCTGGGTTAAGGTTCAGCTAGAGGATTTACTCAACATTTGCATCCTGATTGTTTATGGACCGCAAGAAACCATAGATAAAGAGAGATTCATCGCAAGCCTTAGGCATCAGTGTCAGAGCATATCATATCCCTTATGAGTCATGGGTGATTTCAACCTCGTTCGATCACATGAGGATTACAGGGGAGCCCCGAGAAGTTCGGAGTTGATGCTCGAGTTCAATTCTTTCATCATTGAAGCAGCCCTTGTTGATCTCCCAATGGAGGGAGCGTCTTTCACTTGGAGCAGTGGTAGAGTGACGCCCTCGTTGTCCAGAATTGACAGGTGCCTCATCTGTACCCAGTTCGACGCGAGTTTCCAAAATTGCAGGCTTATTGCTCTCGACAGAGTGGAGTCAGACCACAATCCGTTACAGCTTATTTGGGGAGAGGAAATCAGAATTCATCGTCCATGGAAATTCGAGAACATGTGGCTTCTCGTCAATTCCTTTAATGATCACATGGCGATGTGGTGGAATAACCAGCCGTCAGGGCATGGTGAGCTTTTTCTGTTCGGGCAGAAGTCGAAACTGCTGAAAAATTCCAT